GGGAATCAACCATTTTTTTAAAAAAAGAAATATCTGGAACAGTAATTGCTGAGAATTTTACAAATTGATGTCAGACACCATACCACAAATACAGGAAGCTTTCTTATTTTGAAAGAAGCCAGAAGAAAAATGCACCTTACCTGTAGAGGAGCAGAACATTCAACTTCTCCTCAGAAACCATGCAAGCAAGAAGAGAGTGGAGTGAAATATTTAAAAATATTGATTTAAAGTGTTGAGAGAAACACCTTACCTTATTAAGAACATGAACTCAGATAGCTCTAGGGATCTAGACTAAGAGAGCCTTTGAATGACTCAGTTCCACCTGTCAGTCTAACTCAAGACTTAGATTCCCAGCAGGGTCGGATTTGCCCAACAAGCGTGATCATCCCACATGCGGCTGATGGCACAAGGCACTTTGATTAACCAAATGCTGGCAGCAGCTGCCACCTCCACCCCCCAGTCATCACTACCACAGCACCATGTTTCCACCCCTACCCCAGCCCTAGAGGCTGTGGAGCAGCATATTAAGGACCACTGTACTGCATGATTCCTAAAGCTGTTTCCATTTAAAACAATCAGATATTTCTGTTGCTAAGCAAAAGATTTGCCATTCTTTTTTTTTTTCTTTTTTCTTTTTGTTTTTGTTTTTTCATTGAGACAATCTGGCTCTCTCACCAGGCTGGAGTTTGGAGTGCAGTGGTGCTATCATAGCCCAAAGAAGTCTCGAACTCCTAGGCACAAGCCATCCTCCTGCTTCGGCCTCTATAGAGTATCTAGTACTATAGGTACCTGCCATCATGCATGGCTAAGTTTTAAATTATTTTGTAGAGATGAGGTCTTGGTATGTTGCCCAGGCTGGTCTCAAACTCCTGGCCTCAAGTGATGCTCCTGCCTCCGCCTGCCAAAGTGCTGGGATTATAGGCATGAGCCACTGTTCTAGGCCTGCAATTTTATTTGAGTAAAATGTTTGTCTCTTACTTTTATCAGAAAGTCCTTCATTTTACTGTTCCCAAATATCTAAACTGATCCTCATATAGTGCCATATGAAATATATAAGAAATTCATCAGTTTGTTTCTTCTGTTTATTTCTTCTTCTTCTTTTTTTTGAAACACTGTCTTGCTCTGTCTTTCAGGCTGGAGTGCAATGGTGCAATCTTGGCTCACTGCAACCTCCATCTCCTGGGTTCAAGGGATTCTCCTACGTAAACCTCCTCAGTAGCTGGGATTACAGGCTCCTGCTACCATGCCCAGCTAATTTTTGTTATTTTCAATAGAGACGGGGTTTCACCATGTTGGCTAGGCTGGTCTCAAACTCCTGACCTCAGGTAGTCCTCCTTGGCCTCCCAAAGTGCAGGGATTACCGGCGTGAGCCACCATGCCCTGCCTCTTCAGTTTATTTCTTTAAGGACACAGACTTCAGAGCCAGACCCTGGATTCAAATTCTACAATCATAGCTCTGCTGTTTACTAGCACTTACTTACTTTCAGTTTTTACATAGTCTTACTCTGGGCAATTATGTAATCTCTTGGTGCCTCTGTAAAATGGAGATGGTAATAGTACCCATTTCATAGCGTTGCTGTGATGATTAAATTAGTATGAATGAAGCATTTAATATACTGCCAAGAGCATTAGTATAAATGTATGCAAGTATAAGCTATTACATTTGTAAAATGGATATTACTAATTAAATTTCACACAGGCAACATAAAAAAACCTAAAAAGCTTTTTGGTTGGAAGTTACCTCTTAAAAATTAAATTACTGGCCAGGCATGGTGGTTCACGCCTGTAATCCCAGCATTTTGGGAGGCTGAGGCAGGCAGATCACTTGAGGTCAGGAGGTTGACACCAGCCTGGCCAACATGGTGAAACCCTGTGTCTCTACTAAAAATACAGAAATTAGCCGGACGTGGTAGCATGTGCATGTAATCCCAGCTACTTGGGAGGCTGAGGCAGAAGAATTGCTTGAACCCAGGAGGTGAAGGTTTTAATGAGCCTAGATTACTCCCCTGCACTCCAGCCTGGGCGATAGAGTGAGACTTGTCTAAAAATAAATAAATAACATTAAAATTAAAATTAAACAACTTCACCTGGAGAAGCATTCTGCCGTGGCATTTAGCTTAGAACTGTACTGTGAGGAATACCAGTGAATTATTCATTCCTTAATTCAGTATTTTTTGAGTGCTTGCCAGGCATATGCTGTATTCCAGGAAGACAGGGAATTTACACACTAGTAAAGGAAGTGGTAACTAAGTGAACAAATAAAGCCCAGGATAATTATCGATGTGGTAAGAGCTGTGAAGGAATCAGCAGAAAGGCCTGGGAGGATTTGTTGTGAGCATGAAGCAGATGAGAGGCCTGGGCTGGACTGTGGTGAGCTGTGGAGAGAGGAAACGAGCTGTTGGAGAGGGTGCTGGAGCTGTGTTCTGCAGGGCCTTCAAAACTCCAGCAAGCCGCTGGGAATATACAGGGAGTTTGAATTTCTTTTCAAGGAAGCTGTGAAGAGGGGTTTTACCCAGGGGAGTGTGCTGGTCTCCCAGCACATTTACATTTGGTAAAGTTGTTTCTGTCTACTGCATAGAGAATGAATTGGGGAGGGGCAAGCCCATCCTGGCGGTAGACAAGTGCAACACTCCAGGGCTAGGCTGAGTGGCGGCAATGAGGTGGAAGGAAGTGCATGCAGTCAAGTCAGATCACACACATTTAATTTGGCGGTAGACTTGACAGGTGGTGATGATGGCTTGGATGAGGAAGACAATGAGGAGGCAGGGACATTACCTAGATTTTTGGCTAAGTGCCATTTTGACAGTATGCATTATATTCTATTATTAAACTTTTTTTTCATTTTGACATGATCCTTCCCTCTAGGGAAAAGACCCCGTAAGTGCTGAGGCAGGAGCCAAAGCCTCAGCCTATTTCCATATAAATAATGAAGAAGAAAGTAACTAGAAATATAGTCGTAGTCTTAGTTAATCATAGGTGATCTTAATTCTTTTACTAATACCTCTCAGATCGGAAGTGTGAACCTGGGGGTGACATTGTGAAAAAAATGACACTAAGGCAAGATGCTTTAAGCCCTCTGTCATGCCTGCGTAAGGGCTGCTGGAGGGCGCCTTGGCTGTGCGGCAGCGGCAGTGCCAGCGCTGGGAAAGTGCCCGCTGTTTAGCCAGCCAGGGAAGGAGACGTCCAAAATAGCTGAGATGTCTCCTTCCCCTGAGGAGTTAGGAAGAAACTCCACTTCTCAAAGCTCTTGTGGTAAGGCCTGACGGCTGTCAGGTAGACCTGCAGACATCTGGGGGCTTAATTGTCTCCATGTGATGCTGTGCTTCAGTGGTCAGGTTCCATGTCTACTCTCATGTTATGCTTCTGCACCTGGTTTCTTTTTTCTTCGAAAAGATAATCAGTAATAGTAATATAAATCTTAATGTTTTTGTTCTTTCTTGATAAGTATGGAAAAGGTGCTGATGCATTATGCTCCTTACTCACTTCGGGTGCCAGAAATTCCTAGCCCCTACCTAAATGACATGTGATGTACTTGACCTTATCACTGCCATGCTTTATCTACCCTGTCCCAGTCTCCGACCACCAAGACGACGCCCTACCTACCCTGCCCCCAGATTTGCAACCCAATTAAAGTGAGAGCATCCAGGCATTTGGGGCCACTGCTGGTTTCGATTTGGGTAGCAGTGGACCCCTGGGCCCAAACTCACTTTTCTCGATATCGGTGTCTTGTGTCTTTTATTTCTACAATTTCTTGTCTCTGCACCAGCCGGGAGGGGCTCACAGAACCCTGTAGGGCTGGCTGGACCCTACACTTCCCTAAACTGTAAATGTTCTAGTATGTGTACTGCCCAAGTGAACATAAAAACTGCACGCTTTTAGGTATTTTAAAACTTTAATTTTCCCAATCTAGATTTTTTTGCATTGCAGCCAAATTGTACAGTTGTCTTAAATTTCTTCTGGTTTTCTTGTTTGGTAATGGGAATCTCCTTTGTTGATATTTTGGATATTTAATTGGGAGCATTTCACCTGTTAATTATGGCTGTTGAGGATTTAAACTTACTTTTTTTTACCACCAGTCTTTTGAAATTAGATTGCTGAATATCCTCCCTCTACTGGAGAGTGTCAGAGCCTGTGAAGGCCTGCACCTGTTGAGAGGCAGCCTTTCCTCCTCTGCGATTCCTGCTTCCAGCTTCCACTGGCGATGGAGGGGAGGGGTGTGGGATGGGAGGGGGCACCTGGAGCTGCTGAACCAGTTCCATCTGTGTAACTCCATTGTTCTTTTTAGCATGGCCTTCTGGGGTAGGAAGTCAGGCTTATAAGATTTTATCTACTGTCACTTAGAACCAGTATTCCTCCTCAGAAATTGGAATTTACTATTATTTTACTAAAATACGGCTTCTTGTGAATGAAGTGAGATCAAGCATATAAAGCAATCTTTAGTTAAAAGATTGCTTAAATTGATTAATGTGGAATGAATTATTTTACTTTTTTCTAAGAAATGAGAAACTGGGAAAAAATTCATTAGACTGTAATGCATAGAGATTTTTTTACATCTAAATGAGAAGCCAGAAATTCATATAAAACGTAAGAACTTCAAAAACATTTCTTAGGCACAGACTTATTAAACATTCGTGGATGTTTTTGATTTCCTGTTACATTAAAATACTCAAATCAATTTCCTATTTAGAACATTTAAAAATAGCTCAATCTTAAAAAGGAGATATAAAGTATTATCAGCTGTGCTTTTTGTGCATAATTAGCATGTTCCTGTGGAGGTATAATGACTTCTAGTCTAATGATAGTATCATGATAAAAAATTCAGATGGTAAAAATTGGAGCTCCAGCTGGATAACACATTTTATAACAATTCAAAGATGACTCCAGCATAGAAGCTATGCTATTTTAGTTCCTTGTAATCCCCTCTTCACCCATCAATGGGTCATGTAGGCACTGATAAAAGAGCCTTTTAGAAATGCTTCTATTTGTTCCCTTTCTTACAGATTTAATGTATGCCCACTATTTCCTTCAGTGCTGGACAGGCTTCTGTGAAGGGGACGTCACCTTTTCCCTTTTTCCAAGATGGCTCAAGATTCAGTAGATCTTTCGTGTGATTATCAGTTCTGGTTGCAGAAGCTTTCTGTATGGGATCAGGCTTCCACTTTGGAAACTCAGCAAGACACCTGTCTTCACCTGGCTCAGTTCCAGGAATTCCTGAGGAAGATGTATGAAGCCTTGAAAGAGATGGTAAGTAGTAGACCAAAATAATGAAATGATTTTCTGACTTCAGGGTCTCTACCAGATTTCACCAAGACAGAATGCCATCCAGAGTTGGGACTTGTGGTATTGACTGAAGTGCCAATGGATTAGGAAGACAAATTACCCAAGAGCTGGTTTCCTAGTCTCTGATTCATTATATTACTATAATTTCTTCTTGAGTAGCTGTATTATCACATGAGACTTCCTGACCAAGCAAGTTGTTTTTAAATAATCAAGATTTCATGCTTGTTGTCAAGTAGTAAATGGGATTCTTTTAAAGGCCTTTGTGTCCCTTGAATCTTGGAGAATTTGCTACCTGCTTAACCTTTCCTCCACCCTGTTCTCAAGTGGGCTGTCCTAAGAGATGATAAATATTAAGATTTTTTATAAATATAATACTTTTTATAAATATTAAGATTTTGAGTATCTTTACTATTATATAATTTGTTATTTTCAAAATTTAATATCTTTATGGATGTCATGTTTCTTTCATTATATTTTTATGACTTGGCACTTGTTTATATATTATGAGCTAGTATTTTGCATTTAATTTCAAAATGAAAAGCAAAATTGTCACTTAATAAAGTGCCCTTGTGTTAAGCTTTTCTTCCCTTAATCAATGAGCAAGTAGGAAATTTGAAGAATAATTTGTATTGATAGTATGTGTTCATATGTCTTTAGAAACTAGAAGGAAGATACAGTCTGTGTGAACAACCAGTGCTAATTTAAAAAAAATTTTTTTAATGAGACATATGTAACTTGACTTTTATGTGGTCCCAGAAAGTCGAGGACCAGCCTTGATGCTGGGACACAAGTGAGAGATGTTTTGCTGCCGCAGCAGGAAGTACCCATCGTTTCAGCTTACCTGCACATTAGTTTGCTTTTATTTTTTAACTTTTATGAAAGGGAAGAAGTGGAAAAAGGTCTAGTTGTACAATAGCATGTGTGTTTTTAAATCTTAGGCTGTTTTCTATTTGGTTGATCCTTTTTTTGTCAGGGTTTAGATTGTTACAGACTACATATGATGTCACTTACCATACAGTAATCAAAATAGTAATAAACAGAGATATATACATTTGTGCTTTGGCTGTTTTTATTTCTTTATTCAAGTTCCAGAGCTCTTGTTCTTTTAAACCTTCTTTGAAATAGCCTTAGTGGAGCTGAGTTAGTAACCTCTCTTATGTTAGAATAAAAAACCAGGATGAAGATATAGGATTATGTGGCTATTGATCACCAATATTGTGTTTCCCCCCCTTTTTTTTTTGAGATGGAATGTACTCTGTCACCCAGGCTGGAGTGCAATGGCAAGATCTCAGCTCACTGCAACCTCCTCCTCCCAGGTTCAAGCAATTCTCCTGCCTCAGCCTCCCAAGTAGCTGGGACTATAGGCACATGCCAGCACGCTCAGCTAATTTTTGTATTTTTAGTACAGATAGGGTTTTACCATATTGGTCAGGCTGGCCGTGAACTCCTGACCTCAGGTGATCCACCTGCCTTGGCCTCCCAAAGTGCTGGAATTACCGGTGTGAGCCACTGTGTTCAGCCCAGTAATGTGTTTTCAACTCTTGAGCAATCTTTGTTATTTTAAAATAAAGTAGCCTTTCCTGAGTAGAATTAATTTTGCAACACAATTGATTTTATGTAACTATGTCATACATCTTAGTTTGGTGACTAAGGATGAAATAAGGTGGTTAATTGCTTTGTAAGCTTTATTTGAATTGCTTAGCTAAAGATCCTCTCTAATCCTTTTTTTGCCACCTTTCAAAAATGGTATACTAAACAAGAAGCATTCAGGCTCCCTCTACCTATATCAGTTCAGTCTCTCTGAATTGCATAATGCCTTTACTGACCAAAATTTAATTTTCTTTCACAGGATTCTAATACAGTTATTGAAAGATTCCCCACAATTGTTCAACTGTTGGCAAAAGCTTGTTGGAATCCTTTTATTTTAGCATATGGTAAGAATCCAAAATGAGTCCTCTCAAAATGGCTATTTTAATCTTTGCATTGTTTCACAGAGGCTTATATTATGAACCTTTCTTTTATTATTTCTTTTTCTGGAACAGCTTATCAAATGTATTCATTGTTCCATTACAAAGATGGCGTCCTATACTGTTGTTCATGTCTGTGTGTGTAGGTTTGTATAGACACACACACACGCACGCACGCATGCACGCACGCACACGCACCCACGCACGCACACGCACCCAGTGCAGATCTTTAGGAAAATAGAGCTCTTTGTATTAGATGACAGAAATTTCTAAATGATTTAGATATCTATTTTTGCCTGTAATCACTTTCATAACTTAATTTTAAATTCAGTATGAAATGGCTATACTGATGATACCGGGTTACTTTTGTTTCACGATTTTATAACAACTCACACTGTTTCCCATGTTGTAAAGTCATACTTCAGAGTCTGAATCCTGCCGTGACTTTGCCTTTGCATTTGGCTGCTTTGACTTTATTTAGGGGTGCCATTTTGCTTTTATTTAAGGTTGAGAGGAATTTGGGGGCACTTTGGGGAGGTCTCCTTCATTGAGCTCCTGCTTGCTGTCCGGTCTCATTTCCTGTTTCATCTTCTACAGCTATACCTCATGGTAGTAGCTGGGTCCTATTACTAACAGTGCTTGAAGGTGCCTGGCATCAGGATTTCTTTTACACTCATTCTCCTTTGCAGTAGCCTTACTGGGCTGAGTTAAGAACTGCTGGGAGTGTCTCCATGACCTCCAGCATCTTCCTTTAATACACTTACTTCACTGTCTGATGCTCTGGAAGACAGCATGCCTCTCGAGAACAGGAACCGTGGTTTTAGTTCTCTTTGTCATCCTAGGGCCTCCCAAGGAACATGGCTGAGATTTGCCTTGGATGGACGTATTGTTAGCTAATGTAATATTTACTTTTCAGATTTTTTAAAGTCAAAGGCTAATTGTATAATATCATGACTTTAGAATCCAAAATAAAATGAATATTCCCCTTTGATTAAAGAATCATATAGTTTCCCATTTCTAGGCTGTCATAGTAATTATTGGAAGATATGTGAACTAGGCGGGAAAGGGACAACATGTGTATTTAGCTCCGTGAACATGCGTGCATGGACACCCACACACTCAGCCTCGCTCACTGTACCCCACCCTCCTTCTTCCCACTTACACCTCGTCCCCCAACCCCTAAACTTGTTCAAATTCTTGATTCAAAATGGCAAAACTAGTGAGTCAGCAGTGTGTTTGCCCACTAGGGCTATGCTTACCTGTCCTGGGTTTATCTGTTGTAGTTAGGTCAGTGTTTCTCAAACGTCTTTGACCAGAAATACATTATGTACATGTGTATGTGTGTATATGCATATGCACATAGATGTGCGCACATACACACACACACAATAAAACACATCTCATGAAAGAATGCATACAATAGCCCCCCCCCTTTGACTTTTTGCAGTTTCAGTTACCCACAGTATAGTACAGTAAGATTTTTTGAGAGAGATCACATTTATATAACTTTTCCTTTTCTTTTTTTTTGAGGGGGGGACAGTTTTGCATTTGTTGCCTAGGCTGGAGTACAATAGCGTAGTCTGGGCCCACTGCAACCTCCACCTCCCAGGTTCAGGCAATTCTCCTGCCTCAGCCTCCCGAGTATCTGGGATTACAGGTGCCTGCCACCACACCCAGCTAATTTTTAGATTTTTGATTGAGATGGGGTTTCACCATGTTGGTCATGTTGGTCTCAAACTCCTGACCTCAGGTGATTCGCCCACCTCGGCCCCCCCAAAGTGCTGGGATTACCGTTGTGAGCCACCTTGCCTGGTTTAAGGGATTAACAATGACAACAATTGCAATAAATCAACTATAACAATATTGTTAACATAAACATGGGGAGGTTTATGATGTAGTGTGAGAGGCATTGCTCACTTTGTGCTGGGCACTGTTCTCTCTGGACTACATAATGGACCTAATTGAATTCTTGATGACAGTGTTGTGGGATAGAAAATTATGGATTAGAGTCAATAAGTCGCTTTCCCTAGAATACAACACTAATAAGAGCCAGAACCTCACTTCTCATGTGACTTTAAAGTCCACCTTGTTATAATGTTCTAACTCCATTGGATCACATCCTGTGATTGTAGTGTTCCAGTACTGGCATTTCCACTAGCCAGTTTCACTTGTGTGTACATAATCATTCAGCAGGTATTTACCAAATGGTTTTATTTATTTATTTATTTAGAGACAACCTTGTTCTGTCACCCAGGCTGGAGTGCAGTGGCATGATCTTGGCTCATTACAACCTCCACCTCCTGGGTTCAAGCGATTCTCCTGCCTCCCACTCCTGAGTAGCTGGGATTATAGGTGCTTGCCACCACGCCCAGCTAGTTTTTTGTATTTTTAGTAGAGGTGGGGTTTCACTGTGTTAGCCAGAATGGTCTCTATCGCCTGACCTTGTGATCTGCCGGCCTTGGCCTCCCAAAGTGCTGGGATTATAGGTGTGAGCACCCGGCCTACAAAGTGTTTTTTTTTGTGTGTGTGCCAGCCCTTAGGAAAACGTGGCTCACCGTCTTTGCCCATTGTGACCTTCCAGTCAGGGAAAAGAGATACCTAAGCAGGTCAGCCTCACTCAATGTGATTGTTTTCTAAATGGGAGTAGCAGTTGCTGAGAGGAAAGAGGGTTTCTCAGGAGAGCCCCTACTGGGACTGACTTGAAGATGTGATTCTCTAAGACAGGGCAGCTGAACTCGTGGGGTCTCATATTCCTTTTTTTTTTGTAAAAGCAGGAGGTCAGATTGATTTGTTTTGGTGTCCTTGAACTCATATCTGTCTGTGATCTTTCCTTAGCACCTTATCAGCATTGGCCTTGGCCCCCTCTAACAACCAGAAACAAATTCTCCATCCCTTTCTGTCTCAATGCTTGTGTTACCTTTTGAACTGCCCATAAATTTCAGGTTCCTGTTGAGGTATGCCCTGGCTATGAGCTCAGAGAGGCGGCTGAACGACATGAAACTCCGTGAGCAGTCAAATGTTGCCTGTGTCGCCCCTGCTATTTCACAAGTTGGGTACTTTATTCCTAGAAGGGATCTTTTCTTATGGTTTTATAATATCAGAATTGCTTTTTAATTACAGTAAAAGCAAACAATTTTCATAATGGAAAAAAGTAAGCCGTATGTAGTGTTCATGGAGAATAGGATCAGAAAAGGGTAATAAGGAAGTAGGGATGATTTGGAAATAAAAAGATACCAAAAAGAGAAGAGACATAATTGATAATAATGGAAAGCAAGAGAACACCTTTTTATTCGCAGTGTCCTCAGCATAAAAACACTGCCTTTACCTTCTGAAATTCTGGTCCATTGCCTCTAACTCTGCCCTCATGATGAAGCGTAACAGCTGTTACCTCTCTTCTTCACTATTCACTCTATTCTGTATAACAAATTTCCGCCAAACTTAGCAGCTTAAAACAGTGAATATTTATTGTCTTAAAAATGTGCTGACTTCATACTTTTAGAGTGTAGAATTAAAGATTAAAGAATTAGTTCAGCTTTTATGTGGAATTTCAATTCCAGATATAAAAATAAAATATAAGGTGGCAAGTGTATGTTAACGTCCTTTCCCTTCCACTCATTTTTAGAATCCAAATTTACACTAAGATGGGCTGTCAGCCACTGTCCCTGCAGTAAATCCCAGGCAGTTTCCCATCTCCCTTAACGTGCCTTGTGGGGTGTTCTAGCCCAAGCTCAGGGCCTCCAGGGGAAGCCTGACAGATGCCAGCCTCTGGAGAGAGTGCTAGTGGCACTCATCAAGCGTGGCTCATGTTTGTAAATTGCCTAAGCAAAGCAAGCTGTAAGCTCATTAGCAGTGCATTTCAGTGCATTGACTCTGGGCAAGGAAAGTCAGCTCCTAAAGGTTGGGTGGAAGTTTATCTGGCTTCTCTTTTTTTAACTTTTTGGGAGAAAAATTAAAAAATAATATACTTTTTGAACTAAGTTTGCATAATCACTCAACACCTGGGGAAACTCCCAGTTTTGGGGATTCTTTTAGATTTAAGTTTCATAAACTGACGTTTCCTTTTTTTTTTTTTTTTTGGTGGTAAGTGTCTGGTTTTTGGAAATGCTCCCATCAGATCACGTTCTTTTTAACAACCTGCTGCATGTGTAAGGATGTCATTGGGTGCATCTGTCATACTTGCTGCATGAAGCTAGGTAGAATTTCTCCTAATATTTAAACCGTGGGAAGCATAACAGCCACATTTTTAATCAGTGGCATTGGTTAAACCTGAAGAACCCTAGGATCTTTAGTGGTTAAATTATATAACTCCTAAAATGAACGGATCCCAGACAAGTCAGTGCCTTATAATACTTTATTTGAGCTCATAAAAGCGAGGGGGAAAAATGAATGGCCTCAGAATAACCCCTGATAAAGTTTTTTTCAGAGCTGTTAAGTTATTGGAAAAGCATAAGCTTATGGATATTCACAGGGAAAAAATGGGTTTAAAAATTACTGCTAGCATTTTTTAGTTTGTGGATAAAAATACAGAAGTAGTTTACTAGAGTTGGTATTGCTTTATTTCTTTGTTAATGAAGCCCTTAGAAATGCTGCGTTTTGGCCAGGCATGGTAGCTCATGCATGTAATCCCAGCACTTTGGGAGGCCATGGCAGGAGGATCTTTGAGCTCAGGAGTTGGAGACCAGCTTGGGCAACATGGTGAGGTCCCATCTCTACAAAAAATATAAAAATTAGCTGGGTGTGGTGGCACACACCTGTGGTCCCAGCTACTCAAGAGGCTGAGGTGGGAGACTCGCGTGAGCCTGGGAGGCAGATGTTGCATTGATCTGAGATCATGCCACTGTACTCCAGCTGGGTGACAGTGAGACTCTGCCTCAAAAAAAAAAAAAAAAAAAAAAAAAAAAGAAAGAGAGAGAGAGAGAGAGAGAAAGAAAGAAAAGAAAGAAGAAAAGAAAAGAAAGAGAAAGAAAGAAAGATAGATGATTGGGTTTATTAGATTGCAGAAGATGAGACAGTAGAGAGGACCAATTCCAGGCACTGAGTGTCTTACCCACCTCCATGGCCTTGTTATAAAGTCTGAAGTTGCTTTGCCCTAGCTCAGTTACTGACATCTTCAGTTTCTAGGCCACAATTTTGTTTCTTAATGGTGTTATAAATTCTCCAACTGGAATAGACTCAGTCACCACAAGGGGAAAAGGAAAGCGGCTCATCAAGTAGATGTTCCTGCAAAATGTAAGCTTTCAAAGTTTAGATTTTCATTGCATGTTTGGTAAAGTTTTATATTTTAAAGAATTTACATTTTAGAGTAAAGGAGCACATGAGAGGCTTCTGTTTTATCCAAAGCATTTGGTACTAAAAATATATTTTAAAACCTTTTTATTAAATTTGTTTTTAACAAGTAAAGATATTTTGACAAATTAGAAAATTAAAAGATTAAATCAGAAATATTGGCTACTGACTGCCTATAACCATTAAGTTGCCTTAGAAAGGTTGAAATTACTAATGGTTTCAAATGTTAAATAAAAAACTGATCATGAGAAAAGCCCAGTTCTCTAAGTGTTTTCCATCCTTCTCGTTTGGCTTTAAAAATTGCTACTGTTAAATACAAGGAATTGACCACACAAGCGTTAGGTGATCTTGAGGCCACAAGAAGGGAAAAAACCCACAAAGTTAAGTTTAGGGAATTCTGAAGGACAGCTAGGAGAGCAAGCATGGAGTGAAAGAGAATATTCCTGTCAGTAGGAAGAGAACGTGCCAAGTAGGGTGGTGAGAAAGCAAATGTTGCATTCAGGGTTACTGGTTCTGTGAACTTAGTAGTTCGAGATTTTCCTAAATATAATGTTTAAAATGTTTTTATATTGGTTATTTTTTCTGTTTGATAAAACTTACTAAGTTTTCCTTTTTGTAGATGAAAGCCAAAAAATTCTAATATGGTGCTTATGTTGTCTGATTAACAAAGAGCCACAGAATTCTGGACAATCAAAACTTAACCATTGGATACAGGTAAGAGAGTAAATCTTGCTCTGCACTTTGACTTAAATCGATCATTTAAAAGTGCTGCTTAAAAATTTTTTTAGGGGGGTCCAGTTCTAAGATGTTTCAGAAACTTTTTCAAACATACCCTTCACTGTTACATTATCTTGCTGGGTATAAAGTTTTTCAAGAGATTTCAATTTTGTTTGACTGTGAATTCCAAAAGATATCAGTCCTTAGGGTGAAGACCTAATGTTGAGTGGTTTTGAAAAGCTTCTTTCAGGTGATTAAAATAATGTGTTCTATTTCACTCTAGCAATTTCTATCCTTCAGAAAATTGTTTTACTCTCCCAACCTGGTTTAAATACTTAAGTAATTCCTTTCCACATGCTTCCCTGCCTCTTTCAAAATCTATTTTGTAGTAAAATGAAAATTCAACAGTGTGGTGGGAGCGGCACTGTATTTTGTGTCCCCAAGTTCGTGCCTGGGCCAGCATATGCACAGACCAGAACTTGGTACTGCGTGGCCTCTGCTGCTGACACTTTCCAGTTGGTTGCCTACCATGCTAGTCCAGGTAGCTGACAGCTTCCTAGATTTCCCTGTTTGCTTCTGCTTCTGCTTCCTCCTGAAGGGCAGGCGTAAGGTGGAGATGTGGTGAGGCTGGGCTGCAGCTGCCCTCCCTAGCGGCACATGGCTGTTCTTTTCTCACTGCCTCGCTGCACCAACCCCAGGACTTGCTGATGCATGCCAAACTCCACTTAGTATGCATGTGGTTCAGATTAGTATTATGCTTAGTATTATGAAATCATCCAACCAGATTAGTGCATATGGTTTTGTCTATCAATCTGACTGGTGATATCATTACATTCACCGCTTTTTACGATTTCTTTGTTTTAGAAAAAATTCCTAATAGAGATAAAGATGGTATTTATATTTTCTGTTAGACTGAAAGAATAGAAGAGAGTGAGGGGAATTGGACAATGGAAGGAAAAAATACAAACTTTAATTGGAAGGAAAATTAATGTAAGGAACTGAAGAAAGGAGCGGATAAGTAGAATTACGGAAGAATGAATGTGTAACAAACAAGGCCGTAGAAACAAAATAACATATTTAGTCCTTAATTTTTTAAGTGTTGCTTTTGTTATTTGATATTTTAATGAATATTTAGCATATAATTTTATATTAGATAGCTCATTGAGTCCTGAAGTAGGCCATCTAATAAAGTGTTTTGAGGGTGATTAGGTTAACTTTCTTCATTTAACTCATGACTTTATTAGCCTATTTTAAAATTTCTAGTCTCGCATTTTATTCTGTTTGTCTAATACTGTATCTATTTATTAGTAGGTCCTTTTTAAGTATAGTTCATGGAGGTAAAGTTAAAACACTTAATCTGTGCCTTCAAGGAATTCCCAGACTGGTAACCAGGTCACTCCAGGGCAGCATAGTTGGGTTATTGCTAGAGCTATGTATAGGTGTGACAGTGACATAGAGGGGAAATTTGCTCACATGTGGGCATTTGGAGACACTTCCTGGGGCAGGTGACATGTTAATTGAATTGTGAAGGACAGCTAGGAGAGCAAGGATAGAGTTAGGGAGAATATTCCTGTTAGCAGAAACAGACTATACGAACTATGGTGGTGAGAAAGCAAATGTTGTGTCCAGGGAACTGCAGGTGCTTAGGTGTACCTGGAACTTGGGGTTTTATGGGGTTGGTGATGAAGCATGAAGCCAGAGAGACCGGCAAACACAGGCCTTGCGTATGACTACAGAAGGTTTTTATCTTGATGGCAGTGGGGCAGCCACTAGAGTATTTAAACAGAGAAATCATGGTTGGGTGCGGTGGTTCAAGCCTGTAATCTCAGCGCTTTAGGAGACCAAGGCAGGTAGATCACAAGAACAGGAGATGGAGACCCTCCTGGCTAACATGGTGAAACTGTCTCTACTAAAAATACAAAAAATTAGCCAGGCGTGGTTGCATGCCCCTGTAGTCCCAGCTACTTGGGAGGCTGAGGCAGGAGAATCACTTGAACCTGGGAGGCGAGGTTGCAGTGAGCTGAGATTGCAACACTGCACTCCAGCCTGGGTAGGAGAGTGAGATTCTGTCTCAAAAAAAAAGAAAGAGAAATTATGTGGCCAGTGTGTGAGTTTTAGAGACTTAACAACAAAAGGAAGTTGGTTGAGAAGAGGGCAAGGATAGACGTTGGAAGCTATTGTAGTGATAAGGTGAGAAATTGTGAGGGCCTCAAATAAATGGAGAAGGGGGCCTGATTTATAAGATATGAATAAGGTAAATACCCAGAAGGTGTAATGGCATACTAAATGTCGATACACTTAGGCATAGCTGGAAACGCACAGCGAGAAGGTGAATATCCCATTCTCAGGAGAGCAAGCTGATTTGCTGGCAGGGGCTTGAAAGCCACCTGTGGGAATAGTGGAAGCCTTTGGTGAGGTGAGGTCCGCCCCCAGAGAATGCTGGGATAGGGGCACAGGGGAACTCGAGAGAGCCTTGGGAGACACTGACCTTAAGGGGAAGTGAAGAATGATTGATGCTTCAGAATGCAAAGAGGGGTCCAAGAAGTAGAAGGAGGAAGCAATGGAGAATGAGTGTTCATTCATGTTTATGCCATTCATATCTAATGCAGCACTGTCCAATAGGAATAAAATACATGCTGCATAGATAATGGCAGACTTTCTGGGTGCTGCTTTAAGAAATGTAAAAAGAAATAGTTAAAATTAGTTTTAAGAAGATACTTTACTTAGTTCACTATATCCCAAATACCGTCGTTTCAACATGTAATCATTATACAAATTACTATTGAGATTATTCATGATCTTTTTCATGCTGCATCTTTGAAATCCAGTGTGTATGTTACACTAACACTTACATCTACATGTTATATCTTAATTCAGACGCTAAATTTTCTTGGAAATTCTTGATCTGCATATTTATTTCATAAAATATAGGGTTGAAAAAGTAGATTCACATACCCAAGTTGTTCCTAAGAATCTTATTGAATCAAGTATTGGTGTTTAAATTAAAATTAAAATAAAAAATTCAGTTATTTCATGGTGCTTACTGCTCTGCAGCCACATGTGGCAGGTGGCCGCCGTGTTGGAGAGGGCAGCTGTGGAGCATAAGGCAAAAGGATCGAGAAGTACTCTTTGGATTTAGCCACTGTGAACAAAGACTCAGTGAGAAGAGGTGTAGTGAGAGGCGGTGGGAAATAGCCAGATTACTCGAGACTGAGAAATGATGGGGAGGTGAGGAGGCAGAGTTGATAAACTTTACCCTTTCAAGAAACTTGACAGTAAAGGAGGGAGGACTTTGGCGATGAAGGAGGTGATAGCCAGACTAGGGCGGGGTTGGCTGAATTGACCAAGTCCTGGTCATGGAAAGAATGTGCGGGCAGGGAGCAGGGTAGGACATGGGAGGTTGGGAAAACAGTTTCCCTCCTCATTTGCCATGCAAGCCTGAACTAAATAACATGAACCGATAAAAGGATGTCTAGGAACATGTTATTTAGCTCTTAACAATTATTATTAACATATTAATTATCTAACTCTTAACAACTCTAAAGCTAATTACATGTGTCCATCACCAATCAGTAGGTTATCTCATGTTGACCATAAATGCACCAAGACAGAAGGTAGTCATTGACTTATAAATCAGTTTACATCTCGAGTATACTTTATCTTAGAGGAGATATTTTCCTCATGGAGGTTTTAGAGTGACATAGTACATGTTAAAGATGTGTACCTTGTCATTCAGTACCCTTGTGAAAATTATAAAACAGCCATATTTTAAAATGTTTGCTAATTCATTCAGCAAGCATTTATTAGGGCCTACCATGTGCTAGGATATTCTAATTGTGGTGATAAAATCTTGGGTCATTCTGTGTTAGTGGAGCATTACAAATATGATTCAAATACCCTGAATCAAAAACCAAGAATTTCTACAGTAAATTCCAAAATTCAGTAAACATTCAAATTAATCAATAAATTTGAAAATGGTAAACTGAGTTGTATTTTTAGCACAGAGAAGAAATAATTGACACGACCTGTTAGCATATGTTACATTGGAAACACATTAATGAAATGTTTGGGAGCTGTACTAACAACTTTGAATGTGCTGTCATAGAGCACCACCTCAATGGCTGTTCTTACAGTTCAGAGACAAAGTTCCAGGACTCTTTCACATATTTTGGGAATATGTGGTCTTGAAAAACATAGTTTTACTGGTGAATCCACTGAGCAGATGCTTTTTGAGCTCCTACTGTTTGCCAGGTACTACTACAGAGGCTGAGAATATAGCACTGGATCTAGAAAGACAGTCTGTTCTCAGATACTGCAATGGAAGGGAAAGGTTTCCAGGGCCTGCCAGATGTCGGGGGATACCTGTCTTCTCTGGCAAAACCATACTACTATTATTTTTTTATTCTGATGAAAAAAACCAGCGGGGTACCAGGAACAGAGATCAAAAGTGTTGTATTCTGTCTGTATTCCCTTTTGAAATGCAGTACTAAGCAATATCCAGATAGCTTCTGTCCTCTACTTCTTTTATTTTAAACAAAACTTTTAAATTAAAAAAAAAATCTAACAAACTTACACAAAATAAAAGTGCCAAGCTTAACAAATTGTGAAAGATCCTTGTAACCACCACACAAGGAAATAGAACAGAACATTGGCCGCTCCTAGATGTCCCTGCCCCCCATGTGCCCCTTGTTGCTTTTATTCCTCTGGCCTCCTCCAGCAGTTACCACTAGCCTGGCTTTTATTTACATTTCCTCATGGTTTTACCACTTAATTATGCCATTTGCCCTATTTTTTAGCTTGTTAGAAATAGAATAATACACTATGTATTCTTTTGTGTTTATTTTTGTTCACCATTATTTTTGTAAGATTCAGTCATGATATTGGGTGTAGTTTGTTCATTTTCATTGCTGTGTAATATTCAATTTCATGAACATACCACAATTTATTGATTCTACCTTGGATAGAAATTTGTTTCCATTTTGGGGTAAGTAGGAACA